AACTGTAAGTATATTCTGTTAACGAAAATGAATCTGCTGTAATGAAGCAAAGAAATCAGTGGTAACATAAACTTTGTAAACTGTTTTTTTGCTTTTCAAAACGAGTAGTGCTTAATATGTTTCGCCACTCTTTTGTTCTCCGATAGCCGACCGAAAGTCAATGAAGCAGCGGTGTATTATCTCAAGGACAATTGTAAATTCCACAGTATCGCCTTTCAAACACTGATTCGTCGTATGGTAATGTAAAAGTAATAAAAAAACATTTTTTTACCAATGATATTTTATTGGTAGTGTTTCAACATTTCCAAAGTTCAACTTAAAGGTTTTTTTTTCTTATTTGCATTGCTAAAAGCAAAAAATTTTATTTTCAACTTTCTTTTGTTGCCGATTGAAATCATTTGCTAAACACACCCCACCTTTGAAAAAAATGCTTAAAATTATTGGATTTGTACTGTTACTTTTGCCAACTGTTCTTAGCCTATTTAATAAAATTGATGAACCAGATTTCTCAGTCATAAGAACTACAGGAAAAAAACCTAATGCTGATGTTGCTTGTCAAACAATTAATTTTCGATTTTGCCAGGTATGATTTACGAATGCTTCTTAAGTGTACATAGCCAATAGTGTTGTCTGTTAACCCAAATTCTATATGTTAGGCTTTTCTGTGATCAATAGCCTTTGAATATGGTAAAAAAACGAATGCAAAGAATAAAGGCTTGCAATTTTTGTCATATATTTAAAACAGTTTCTGTTTTGTCACCTTAACTTCTAAAATGATCAGACTTTATCAGCAAATAATTTTAAGCATAATGGGATGATCGAACAGCTATTAATACTAATCGTTTTATTTACTTGAACAAAAAGTTATCATAAATTATAGAAGTTTTGTAAAATTTATACAACACAAAAAATCTTTTTCAAAATAAAAAATATGTCAATAAAATGTATCGTGGTAAACCAACGTATAAATAAATTCATATTTGCTGGCATAACTTAATTCGTACAAATTTGTTTTTCTCATAGGTTTACAGTTTCGTAAACAGTTTTAAAGTGCAACTACATGCAACTACACTGTTTCAATTTTTTCCGGCAACTGATTTTTTTGTTTTCAGCTGAAGAGAAAAGCTTACCACTAACGTTTAACCAACTTGACTTCAGACAGACTTCAGACTACATTATTTTTTTCCAAACTACTTGCAAAAACATTATTTGACATGTATACAGACAAAGTTTAGTTGCATAAAGCTGATACACCTATTGTTGCTATCCGAGTAACAATTTTGTTGTTTTAAATACCGCGTATAAATAGCTGCAATTAACCAAACGTCAGTTTTCACATCTGTCAAATATGATAAACATTGATCAGACAAGTGTATCAACAATTAAGCTAAGCAGTTTAAAAATTTTTTTTTTAATGGTACTGTGCAGAAAGAATTTCTACTTTTCTTGCTTGATCTCTACACTTTTGGGAAATTTCTTAGCAGTAACTGTTTTGTTGCGCGGTCATTTAAAATGCACCATTTTTGTAACGCTATTTAGTTGTGACATATTCAACTGCAAAAAAATTTCAAATAGAATCTAAAATACCAGTAAAGACGTATATACAAACTAAAAAAAGAAGTTTTTTACATAACTATTTGCTAATCATAAATTGGTAGTGAAGTTCAATTTCTACAGAAAAATTGGTTTATTATTGATTAAAAACGATGTTATTTCATTTTAACATTTGAAGTAATTTGTTTGTTACAGGTGTCATTTAATCATCGTTTGGGTTTATCAGTTGATTTGGATTATTCAAACGGTACTGAGTTTGCCAACAAAATTTACGGCTATCTAAGAGCTAATGTCACTCAGTTGCTGTATGTCTGCAAGTAAGTAGCCCTATTTTTTAACACTAGTCCAATTTTTCTTTTTTTTAGTGTAAAAAAAAACTTTTAGTATTATCAGCTATTACTGATCATCCAGTCTATCTGCTGTTTTTTCCTTGTCTAAGTAATGCTTGTTGTCTGAATTTTTAAATTTATGTGCTCGAATGAAATAAATTTATTCAGGCAAAGACGTGACTTCTATTTATGTATGCGTGACATGTATTCAAGTTGTGTTAACCAATTTTATCTGCTCTCGTTACCAGGCACCACACTCACAAACGTCTTGGATTATGTACGTGTCTTAGCACAACTGGATTTCATGTGTAACGCCGGTTTTGAAGGTAATTTTTTATGCAACTTTCTATCTCTTTTTTTGATGAAAATAGTCGAGGAGGCGTCAAACATTATCGGATGTGGCTAGCGTGAAGAAGCACTTGCTGTAATTGGAAAAAAAGGCCTTATACTTAAAAAGAAGTTTTACAAATTTTTAAGGGAATTTAACAGTGACAAATAATTGTAGCATACTGCTAAGGTAAGGTTGAAAAACATCCTCTTTCATTTTACTTCTATTATCTAGCATTGCCCTCTAATTTCTTCTCTTGAAAATGTGACAAAAAGAAACAAAAAAAAAAAAAATAGCAAATTTTTAAGAAATAATTTTTATGCTAACTTTGTATTCTTTTGACCATTGTTTTTCGCACAATAAATGATAATATTTTTTCTTTTGTCTCAAGAAGTAGTAAACCAGTATGGATCTTTACTTGGCGCCAGTAACAGTCAGGAGTACCAAAAATGTCAAAAGGATTATGGAACAAGTATGGGATCAAAACCAGAAGCTAGATGCAGGTTTGTAGTGATAACTTTTTGAATCACAGTTATTTATAATACTAGATGTTTTTCCTTCAGTTTATGTAACTTTAATGATTCTGTTAAAGTTTTTTGTGTCTGTTTTCAGCAACACTAATGATTTCATGAAGTGTGCCCAGCAAGCGTTTAGTAAATACTGTGAAAACAAAGCAGTAAGTTTTAAGACAGTATCTATTTCTAAGAATTAACTTTTTTGCATCTCACGTATTTAAGTTGCATTAAAAAGTGTCGTTAATTGAAATGTTACAAGCAAGAAGTAGCTTGATCATGAAAAAATGCTTAATTTCAGGCTGGGTGGTGGATTTGTGAAGATCTGCGTTTGTCGTATGCTAACGATTGTCCAGATTTGAGATGTAACGTTTGAAAAGTTTTTTACCAGTCACTTCATAGTTGTCAAATAAAAATGTGATGCTATAATCTTTTGCCTTTTTCGATGTTAAAACAGTGCTTTTGACTGATAAAATTTCTCCCATTTGTTGACAATAATGCAATAGTTATGTCACTTGTAAACCCATAAAGTTTTCCCTTAACCATCAATCAATCACTTTTTTTTTTGCGAAAGAATAATGGGTGAAAATTTCATAACAGTGCAGAAAATATACGGACAGTTTATATATCTGTATATCAAATAAAGAATTCTTTTTTACAGCTCTAATTTTTTTTACTAATCGCTCAGCCAGCTGTAATGTTTTATTACTTTATAAAAAATAAATAACACTGAGTAAAATAGGTTTGAAAATTGATTAAAGAAAGAACAGCAAATGACAAAAGGAAATTTATGCTCAACAATTAAGATCAATATTTGGAAACATTATTTGAACAATATGAGGAGAAATCGAATGCTGTATCAGCTAAGATTTTGTTCAGTTGCTGTTCTGTACCGTTGTTCTATTTTTAGTCTAAATTGCGCCGTGACAGTTAGTCGTTTGTTATGATGAGAATGCATCAAAAGATTATGAATAAGAGAATTTAGCTGAAAACAAACGAATATTTGTGATATTCCTTAGTTTTTGTTCTTCTTTCTTTTTGATAATTTACCAAAAAACGGCGAAGTTAATAATAAAAAGTATAATCAATTTTGGAAAATTTACTTTAAAAAATATGCAGGTAATTAGACGATGGAGCAGTTGCTAACCTCATTTATAATCATTTATAATCAAATTTTGAAGCTGACAAAAAACTACAGTTTATTGTTTGACTGTTTACAATGCCATTGCAGAGACATTTCTAGTTTATGCTCTATTAATATCATCGGCAGGAATATGTTAACATACAGTTTTTACTGTACTTGAAAAAACAGATTATTGATTTTTGAACAGCATAAAGAGCCAAGGTTTTCTTAGGTGTTTTCAGTAAGTAATCACAAAAAATTCTGGCAAATATTGAAGACTACCTTATTTAATGGTTGACAAAAATTTCATTATTTCTTTTTCACTAATGTATTAATTGCTGGCAGAAAGTAAATAAAAATATATTTTTCACTTAAAGATATTACTTCTGACCGACCTAATTTTTTACTTGTTAATAGCACTGTTTTTGCTATTCCCAAAACAGTGTTGACTAAACCACTTTTGCACTAAATCATATCAAGAGTTCATGATAGTGCAGCGCATCTGCTTTTTAATAGAGGTGCTACTTTTCTGCACCAATGCAAGTTAGTGTCGCTTTAATCTGAGTATTATGATCTCTTGGCAAGTACCAAATGAGAAGAAAAGCCAACAAAGTAACAGATTGTAAAAAATGCCCAAAAGTTGAAGAAATATTAGAAAAAAATTAACTTTATGACTCTAATACTCATGTAGATTACAGAAATGACAGTTTTGAGGAAGTATACAGTCGCTCTTTCAATTACGCTACAACTTCTTTTTCTTGCACATTTTTTTATACTTATTTTTTTTTAAAAATTAGTCTAGTAATACAAGTAGCTAGAGATTAGAATTTTTTCTTATTTGATAACTCTATTGCTTTCGTCGGTTATAATGAACCAGAGCTATCTGTATTACAAATAGTCTTCATTGACTTCATTGGCTGCAAAAAAAATTGCAATTCTTTGAAAGGATTTTGAAAACAGGTAAGTTGACTATTATCTTGAAAAACAAAATAAAGAAAAAATCAAAGATAATTTTTGATTACTTTAATTTGCTAATACTAATCGAACAACGAAAAGGTTTAGAACTTTTTTTTCATAAAACTTACATGCAGCTGAAAAAACTAATAACAGCACGCTACAAACCGCTGCTGTTTATGTAAAAAAGATTTATAAAAAACGGCAAATACTACCTACCAAAAAATTCTTGCTCTTTCTCCAAGTTTCTTTTACAGATTTGTCGCTAAACAGTGAACAAACTTATAGTTGTTTGCAGTAAAGTTTGACACAGTACCTATTAGGTTATTTTTTTGTTGTTTAACGATAAAAGAGATTAGTTAATCATTATGTTGACAAAATTGTAGGATTAAAACTTCTTTTACCGAAAAACCACTTAAATGGTTTGTTTTAAATAGCACATCTTCAATCTTTTTGTAAATGACAGTGGTATATACCCAAATTCTATGCAAAATTTCAATGCAGACTTATGCCAATTTTAATTTGAGCTAACTTGACGTCACTCATTTTACTGCTCTCTTCATTAGTAACCAAGTTTTTAAACAGCAAAAAAGCTAAGAATTTCTGATTGTTATCAGAAAAATATCAATTATCACTGGTGTCTACTAAAGGCAAAATAGGTAAAGATCCTATTACTATCAGTTTTTACAGTGCAATTGCACAGAACATCAAAAGTTGGTGTAAAAATAAAAAGTAAGTGACGAACTAAGAAACTTGTAATATCATCAGTGATGTAAAAAGTTTTGCTGCTTTTTGTTCTACATATAATTACTTTTTTTCGCAGCAATTACGCATCTAATACACCTCATATTCTGTCTTTTTTTTCAGCTATTTAATTAATATCAAAACTTTAACTTTTTTTCAGGATTCAAAAATTATTAATTGATCAACTTTTTGGTCTGCAGCATTTATTTGATAAACATCTAATAAGTGAAACTAAAACAAATAACTTGTTATCTTGAACAGAAATGTTAGAATAAATACTTTATTTTAAAACTTTTATCACTGAATATTTGTTGTGCCCAGTTTATCAATGAATTAAATAGAAGCAAAAATTTGACGTTTATTATCAATTCATATAACACGCAACAAAAAAAAAAAAATTAAAAAAACAAATCTTAAAGTTTTTTGCACTAAATCTTTATGACTTTACAAATTGTCAACGGCACTTTGACCAGGGAACTTTTATGCGTTGTCAAAACTTATTTTACCAACTGCAGAATATTGGGTAAAATTTTTTCTGTAGATCTCGTGACTGTCGTCGTCAGTAGTTATCTGTGTAATAAAATGTCTGATAAAAAAATAGACTGGTGACAGTCTGCAGCTGAGGTACCCAAAAAATTATTTATTTGTCAGCTGAAAAGAAGTAGAAAGAAAGTAGAAAGAAAAAGAAGTTAACTTATACAACTTTTGCTGCAAAAACATTTTTGATGTAGTAACGTAACTTCGCTTAATTTATAATTGTTCCTATTGTAATAAGCAATCTGATTAGTTATGTCACCAAGCCTAATAACAAGAATCTAAATTTAAATTTTAAATATGCGATAGTAATGAAAAAATTTGTGCAACATTGTGAAGATGAGTTTTATCGTAAATAAATGGTAAAAGCTTTATTTGTGACTGTATCTTTTCATCAACGAAACAGAAGAAATTAGTCGACTCATTGCAATAATACCTTTGTTGCTCACTCGTATTGACAACTTTTTTCTTAATGTACATGAAGAATCTGATTCAGATGTTTGTTAAGCTTATTCGCTCACATCGTTCAATATTTTCAACAAACTGTCATTTAACAAGTTGTTTGACGGAAAGTTAACAAAATTTATTTCAAATATTATACTTTATCTAATATTTATACCATAGTTACACTTGAAAACTGCACTGCTGAAGTCCTTTTTGTTTCCGTTTTACTGTGCTAAAAGCTTCTCAAACAAGCAAAAAAATAGTGAAGCAGTAGTTTTTTAAAGCGAAATTAATTGTTTTTTTGAATAAAATTCCGAAAATAAGCTAAAATACGGCTTAGGTCAACTTTTTTTAAGATTTGCAGTCCTCCAGAATGCTGTCAGCAGCTCATTGCTGCAATTCGTTCCGGCAGACACGCAGCCATTAATTTTTACTATTATTCAGTACATCAGTACGTAGTAAAAAAATATTATCATTTTTTTGAATTATATACAATTAGAAGAATGTTTAAGAAATTCACTCGTATAATACAATTTAATCATTTTAAAATAATCTTCAAAAAAGTTGTTATTATTATCGTTGTTAGCAATTGTTCAGTGGAAACAAAAATTTGGAAGCAATATTCCTGTAGCGAAAAAAGCTTAGAGTTCAAATTTCAAAACTTTTTTTATCGGTTAAAAATATTGACAATTTCCAACAATTATTTATTGCAATACATTAATAACTGTAGTTTAAGTTACTAAAATTTTATTTTGATTTATAAAATTGATTTTTCAAATTTGTAGTACCTTTCTTTCGCCAGTAAAATTTTTCATGTTATACAATTGAACAGACTTTGGTTTCATAGTCATAACTTATATCTTTATTCTCACCAAACATCGATTAATTACAGGTAAACTGTTCACCTGTTAAGCGCCATTGTTGCATTAGTCTACCTGTTCAGATACAGACAAAAGTCGTAATAATTTTTTACCCAGAAATTGTTGTTGTTTGATTTTTGAAAAAAAAAGTGAAGAAGTAAGAGATTAAAAAAACATGGTAATTTATCGTATTAAGTACAACAGTAATAAACACATTGCACCAAATGTATGTCAATAAAACTCAGAAAAATACAAAAAAAATTAATGGCAAAAATGCACTGCTTATAAGTCAAAATATTTATCATTCCTTTCCTTATGCATAAGCCCTAAAACGAAGTCACACAACATAAGATACTGAAAATTTTTAATTACTTTATTTGCTGCAGTAATTTTTGTAATGCTTTCTTAAGCAAAAAGTAAGAAGTTTTATAACTGATATACCTTTTTTCAGTCTTTTCTTGGTCTTTTCCTCTTTTTCTCTTTTTTATTTATTTGTTGATTCGCGAGTAGTTCTTAGTAAAAATTTTCAGCTACAGCGCTCATATAGTAAAAATAACAAAAAATGAGCAAAATTTTCTCAAGAAAGCATATCTTTATCTTTTGTTTTTAGAGGTAGTCAGAAGTACCTTTCTACTGTAATATTTATTTTCATAAATAACTAACTAATTTTCGTTTATTGGCAAGCTAATCTGAATAAGAAACCAGCTTTTCGAATCAGTTTTGCTCTCACTGCTCTGCTAACTTTTTTCACCTTTACGGTTTCTGTTAAGCATTTCAAAACCTTTATCTTGCATAGGTTTTTCGTTTTATTATGACACTTTTCAGTAAGCGTGTCATTTTATATAACTGTTAGTTTAATTTATAGCATAATTTCCAATAAAAAAATTAGAGCACACATAGAGGAATTAAAAAAAAAAGGAGGAGGAAACTTAAGAAAGTTAGACTGCAACAACACTTTGAGTAATTGTCAATTTATAGACACATTTTCCAATGTACAATAATGAATACAAAACGTAGCAAACAAATAAATGATAAAAAAAGAATGACAAAGCACTGTTATCAACCAAACAAGAATTGGGAAAACTGCATAATACCAGCAAGAATTTTTAAAAAAAAAAAACAAAAGTTGCTGCCACTTAAAACTTTTTACTTTTACCACTTACCATTGCCATATTAGGTAACAACAGCAAACAAACAAATACTTTTGAGATTTAAAAATCACAATACCATAAGTTTATTATTACTTATATATTTTATTTTATTTCTTACTTTAAGCCTGATCTTTCTCGCTTTTAACTGCTTCTTTTTTGACATAATTCTGCTGCAATTTCCTTCACACTGTGAGGTTCGCTTAACATTTTTTTTGTTATCCTTTAGCAGCTTAAGCAACAGAACAATTTCAACTGTCTTGTCATTCATTAGCTCAGTGGTTAAGAATACTCCGCGTTTTGACCATATTCGCATTTTTGGTTCAGTATTTAAAAAGTATCTCTTCATATACATTTTGCACAATTTTATGAAAGTTGGGATAGTTTCTTCGGCGCTATTTCACCGTGAAAGAGCTACAAACAAAAAAAAAATTTGTGAGAATAAGTTAAAGAAATAAAACAACAAAGTGATAGAGAAAATCTGCAAAAACGCTTTTTAAAAAAGTCTTACAATTTTGTTATTATTGGTTTTTGCTTCTAATAAAACATATTTCTTAAAAAACGTAACCTTACTTTTCTTTGCGTTTTTAATGACGGGTGTAAATTACTGTTTTCTGTCTACAACATTCAGCAATACGAGAAATGTGCAGTTGGTAAAAAAATCTGAAGAAACGTTTAGCAGTAAGAAGTAGATTTGTACTGATAAACCTCTGTAAATTAAGTTTTATTATTATTATTATTATTATTATTATTATTATTATTATCCAATGATATTATAATAACAGTAATACCAATAACTAATACCCTATTATTATTATTATTGTTCCTATTATTATCATTATACTGTTGTTATTGTTATTGTTGTTATTATTGATATTATTATTATTGTTGTAGAGTAGTCTTTAACTTCTGTAAAACATCTAAATTTAATCTGTAAAAATCTAAAAAGAATTTGTTTAATTTTTTCAATCGTTTGTTACAATATCAGTGCAATATCAGCATTACTGAAATCCGCTGACCAACAAACAGCTCTAAAGTCATGCTTTAAGTAATAAGTAGTTTTTTTAACCGTTACTCGAATGCATTTTTTTTCTTAGGTCACTCTCTCATCTACTGATATGTTAATTATAGTAAATTAATCAAACGAGATGTGTAGAACAGATGCTGAAACAAACACCAATTGAAAAATTTTCGATGATATTACAGAACAATTAACAAACTTATGAAGTTTTTTGATCATTTTACCGGAACGATCAAGTAAAGTCGTTTGAGATGTGCTGTCTAACTGTATTTCACTAGCTGTTTTATAATTACTGAATAAAATTATTGGCGTTGATCAATAGTTCTTTACAGGTTTTGTAATTTAGACATCGTTCTTTCCCGACAAAATCTGTCTCAGTTTTTTAACGACAATAAATCTATAAGAATGTTATCTGTGCTAACTTGGAGTCTAAAAAATTTTTTACTTTTTTTTGGTTAAGAAAACATCAGCATTTATATGGGTACGAAAAGCCTATGGACTAAATACAAATTTAAATAAAACTTAAAAAATAACTTAGCATATTTTATACTGATCTGTAAACTTATTTGAAAACCTATAGAACTGACTGTTTGTTGTAATAAGGTGGAAAATTCTGTAATGTGATTATATGACTAAACTTGACTTAATTCTTAACAACTTTTTAAGGGTGTATTCTGTACATGACTTTTGTAAAGTATTGTCTACAAGCAGCTAACATAAAATGTTAAAGTTCTCGCTGATGTAGAAATAAAACAGAGTTTGAGAGCAAAATAAAATGAGCAGAGAATGTAGTTTGATGTAAAGTGGTAAAAGTTATTTATATTTGCAACTTTGTTAATTAACCTTTAGTTCAACTGCTTTAACTAGCCATTTATAGTTAGAACTGTTTTAGCTTACACTTTAGTTTGAAGTAGGCTAGCATTTGTTTTGTATTTTTTTTTGCTGAATTATCAGTTTTGGAGTAAAATATATCTGGTTTCGAAAAATTTCTGGCTACCATAAATTTCCTACAGTTTACGCTATCTAAAAATTGTTTTCTGTTTTATGTTTGTGCTGGTAAAAATTGATATCGACAAAGTGTAATTATAGCCTTATATAAGTAGTCTTATAAGGTCTTTGTGAAAAATATCAGTCAATCTGGCAGATTACTGATAAGCCGTTAAAATGTCAAATTTGGAAAGCAATGGTATTGTTACGATTAAAAATCAAATAAAACTGCTTAATCTATTTTAACAAATAAATGCTTTGCTAATCAGTTTTTTACATTCGGATTAAACAGTAATTAGAGGTTTAAACTCAATCTCTCATGTACATTAATGTTTAAAGACATCTTGTCAAGCAAGTTCTTGAGAACGGAGTTGAAGAAAGATGCTTTTTTATAGCACCATATGTTACCAATAATGACTTGGTACAATTGACCGCAGACTATATGACAGTGATAAATAGTTAATAATAAAGTTTCTGCAAAAATAGTAATTATTGTTATTTTTCTTCTTTTGAATGGTATAATTAAATTTTTTAAAAATATTGAAAACAACAAAGATCTTAGATTTAATTTTATAAAAAAAAAAGCTTTTATAAACAGCATCGTTATCGAACGTAAAAGGGTGTAAATGCCATTATTCTATCAGACACTTTTTTACAGCACTTTACAATGCATATTTATTGCTGTGAATTTGTTGACAACGCTAAAATATACAGTGTAACAAACACAGATATAATATCGTAAAGTAAAGAACGAAAAAAAAAGTGGGGGTGAGAAATTTATAGAATTAAAGAGGTAAAAATTATTAATGGCTTAAAGTTTTGCAGTTGTTTGCTTCACAATCAACTTATTCATATCTTTGACAACAATGTTTCATCTGATTTTCATCGTTTTATTCTCTGGTAATAATTTATCGACTTTGAAAGCGAAAAAAAAAAAAAAAGAAAAACTATTGTTAAATAATATTTAAATTAAAAAAAATAATTAAAATTTTACAAAATTTTAAAGTTTTATAAACTTAAACTGTTTCTAATTTATACAATCTTCTTCTACTGAAAATATTATGTAAATATAAATGGAAATGCTAGATTACCATTTTGAGCAACAATTTTGTGACTGTCGATTAAGTAAATGTTAAAATTGCGCTAAAAAATGTTAATTTTTACAGGAATCAAAAAGTAAAAAAAAAAAAGAATTAAATATACTTTAAAAAATTACTGTAAGAAAAATTGGTTAAATAAAAAACTATATTTTTAGTTAAAACTTTTTAAGGGATTACAAATGGACAACTACAGTGTAACGAAAAGAGTTTCAATAAGTGTCACAATGATTTTACCACTCAATTGCTATTTCCTGCGACTTATAACTGGAACAATCCTAGAAGTTTGATGGAGGCGATACAAAGCGTTTATATTTATAATAACGTTTCCAATAATCTAAACGGACTTGTAACTGTTTGCAAGTAAGAAAATTCAAGAAACATCAAAAAATTGGTTTTAGTTTTTGATAATCAAATTTGTCAAAACTAACAAAGTTATATATTAAAAAAAATTCCAATTAAATGAGAGCTTTAAATAAATAATCATTTTTTAAGAGCATTAAATACACTTACTGGTTGTCTCCTCGAAAATAACTTGAATGTGGATGTTTGCCTTAGTGCTCAATGGCTCTTACATAATGACAAAGATCCGGAGTTAGCTTATCAGTATGCAATGTTAATGAAACAGCTTAGATGGCAATGTGGAGCTGGATTTTATCGTAAATAAATTTATTTTAATTTTACAAAAATACTCATCTAGTCATTTTTTGTTGTTGTTGTTGTTGTTGTTGTTGTTGTTGT